GATATGTAACAGATGTGATTCTGCAATCTGTATTTGGGGTAAAAATGGGAGTTCATAACCAACTTGAATCTAATGTATGAAACATGATATGTCAATAGCTTTGTAATGTTTTGAACAACCAATAAAAAAAAAATAAAAGGGATCATTGGCTTGGGTATTTCTCTCACCTCCCCATCCAATCTATCAGCAAATCCTGACAGATAATTTCTAAATATATTCAAATATAAATGTTGAATTTATTATATTTTAAAACACAGACTCTGGGGGAACGATTTTACCACATCAGAAGATGAGATCTAGTTACTTTCTGTTATGGTTTGGATATGAGGTGTCCCCCCAAAGTTCCTGGGTTAATGAAGGAACATTTGAGGTAAAATGATTGAATCATGAGAGCTGTGACCTAATTGGTCCATCCTAGTTGAATAGACGGACTGGGTGGCAACCGAGGGGCAGACAGGGCATGGCTGGAGAAGGTAGGTCACTGGGGAAGCTCCCTAGAAGGGTCTGCCCTGTGATCCCTTCCCCTTTCTCCCTCTCTCCGATTCTATGTCCTAAGCACCTTTCCTCTGCCTTGACCTTCTGCCTTGATGTACTGCCTCACCTTGGGCCCAGAGGAATGAACTCAGTCAACTATGGACTCAACCTCTGAACTGTGAGCCAAAATAAACCTTACCTCCTCTGACTTGTTCTTGTAATGTATTTGGTCACAGCAAGGGAAAGCTGACTAACACACCTTCCTGGCAGCATATTCTTGAGTTGATTTTCTTGGTTAATCTTTGCAATAGCTTCATTCCACCAAGGTGGATACTGTGATTCAAAGATCTACTTAGACTTACATCGATAGTAGATGTATCACAGGTATCCATAGCTAGTGTCTGTTTTATTTAAGGCTTTTTGTGTTGCCACTAAGGATAAGAGAATAAACGGAAGGATTTTGAAGTTAAAAAGCAAGGAAACAAGGGACTAACGTTAGATGCTCTTAGTCTTTACAGTAAACCATAAATTTGCAAAATGAGAAGCATGCCAGGGATAAAAAAATGGACTTGACTTGAGATTTGGAAAGTATGGAAAATGTCTGGAATAGGCATTGTAGGATTTAAATAAAGGATCAAGATCTAATGAGTTAAAGGAAAAAAAAGTCAAAGTTCTGTTGACATTAGCCCCTAGGGTACTGAAGTGAACTTAGTCAAGTGTCATTATCTTCTATAGCAATGACCTATGAACCATGTACAGGATCACACAGAGTGGCAGTGGAGATGACCAGAGGAGACACAGAAAGAGATCAAGAGCTGATGGATGACTTGGGCAAATATATACTTTAGTTTGAATTTTTATGGAGTGAGACTTCACTTTCATCATTTTTCTTAATATTGTAGAGACCTGGAGTTTTTGCCTGTTGTCTTAGATAGTCAAGGCACCTGATTCTTTTTCATTATTGATGAAACTCCATGCATGTGATCTCCATTTTTATTTTGTCAATTATATATGCTTTCTGAGGTGAACTTGTCTTATTACCTCGACCAGAGATACTGCACCATCATGTCTTCACCTGTTCTGAAAACTTAGACATCTGGTTAAATATTGGTCTTCATCCTAAAATTTAACCAACCTAATAGATTTCTCTATCAAAGTAGATATTCCTCACAACAATCAGTTTGGGCCACTGTTTAAAAAACTATTTATAAGACAAGTTTTAGGTTTACAGGTTGAGCAGGAAGTACAAATAGTTTCTTCTATTATTGACATGCTACGTTAGTGTGGTTCCAACGTTATTGTGATGAACCAATATGAATACAGTATTAACTAAAGTCAATAGTTTACTGTTTCTATGGTTTTGGCAAATGCATAATGACAGTGATGTATCCACCATTACAGTATCAGTTTTACTGCCCTAAAAATCACCTGTGTTCTACATATTCAGCCCTCCTTAATGGGCCATTGTAAACTACTATCCTTTTTATATATTCTGATATTCTATTATGATCCTCAAGATCAAAGATAGTTGTTCTATATTTCAGTCTCTGTTTATCTCTTTCTAATCTACTGGCTCATTCACATTTTCATTTATATAATCTACTGGCTCAATCATATTTTCATTTGTATTTTACTTATTTTTCAATCTGATTTTGATGATCTGATTAACTTTCCCAAATTTTTATCTCCCATTTTTTTTTCCCTGAGATTCTCTCTCCCTGATCAAGGCCATGCTTCCTTGATCACTCTACCTATTCTTCCATCTCACTAACTCTTTTGCCAAGTTCACCTACCATATCTCACCCTTGATATGGATGTTTTAATCTTCTCTGCTTCTCCACTTGGGCTCTCAGTCTCAGCTGGAGAAAGTCACACCTCTGGGCTGACTAGCTGCAATGAAAATGCCAGTCTTATACAAACCTCAGCTCGATCTTCAGTGCCACGGATCTATCCTTCATCCATTCTGCAGGCAATTGAGTCCCTCAGTATCTATTTCAATCTCTCACTACTCACCTGTAGACTCTTAGATAATGCCTGTCCCAATCACCGTCAACACATTTCAACTCCTATTTTTTTATACCTTTATTTTATTTGTTTTATTTTTTTTAATGTGGTGCTGGGGAACGAACCCAGTGCCTCACACGTGCTTGGCAAGTGCTCTACCATGAGTCACAACCCCAGCCCTCAACTCCTATTTTTATCAAGAAATTTGAGTGATAAGATATGATCTTCCTCAGCCTCCCAATCTTGACCTATAGATTAAAAAGACACATTCTCACCATACTTATTAAGTATCAAGGAAACATCTTTACCTCATCAAAATTAATTCTCAATTTAATGCCCCCCAATCTACTCTGGGGACTTTGTCCTTCACCTATTAAATTCCTTTTCTCAAATTATTTTTCTTTCTTTTCCTTCCTCATGTTATAATTACACTCAAGTCTCTGTGAGCTTAAAAACAAAACAAAACAACAACACCCTACCAAAATCAAAGATTGTTCTATTATCTCTGTCTCTCTTCCCTTCCTCTAAATTTTCTGAAAGAGCAATATATAGACAGGCCACTTTCACCTTTTCATTTCCAAGTTTTTACATAATCTTTTGCAGTTTGGCTTCTTCTCCCACCATTGTATCAAAACAGTGGTGGTTTAGGTCACAAAAACCAGGCAGGGACTGGAGGATGTTCAGTCCTTGAAAATATGACTGTACTAGGTGAGGTCTGCTTTTATATGGGTCATTCACTGTGGACCCATCTCAGCTCAGGTTATAGAGCTCTAGCAGAAAGTACTTTACTATCTAGTACATCAGAGTGTGTGAGATGATGGAGTTTAAGGCAGTGAGAGTGGTCAGAGTAGCCCTCAGATCTGTATATAAATCTCCCTTGAATCCATTTGATACCTAAACTAAAAAAAAAAAAATCCATACTGACACCTAAACTAAACATGCAAATTGTGGGGGCTCCTTATTAAAAAAAAAATCAGCGGAAAAGAATAGGAAGAAGTTTGTAAGAGACAAACAACAAATTCCAATTTTTGCCTATAACAGGGAGATACAGATTAAATGTTGAGTCCTTCATAGTAAAACAAAACAAAACAACAAAAAATCCCCTAAAAACAAAAACAAAAAACTTATACTCCAAATTTGATTATCTGGTAAGATTATCACTAAAATTGCAGCTCAGTAAACACATATTAAGTCAATAAATATTGAGAATATGCCACCGTCAGGACTATACTTCAAGATGGTCCAAAGAAAATTCTTGGCTTCAAGTTTAATGATAACAGAAGTTCAGATAAATAAAAGGAATAAAGAACCTTAGCATTAGTAGATAAGCAGTGAAATACCAATTTTTCATCTTTTTTACCTTTGAAAGATTACTAATTGCTTAAATCAAACCTCTATTTTTTGTGAAATTAATAAGGCATGCATATATAACTACAGTAGCACAAAGGTGAGGGTGGATATAAATGGAATTATATTGATGAAAGCTCATTAATTTTTGAAATTTGAGGTGGTGTGATATTAGTTTTAGATAGAATGCTTTCACTTAAGAATGCATGGTGTAATCTGTAGACTAACCACAAACAAGAAAAATACAGAGATATAGGTCAAAAGGCAACCCAGACAATAAAATCAAATATTAAAGTAATTTCAGTTTACATCCCTCCTCCGAAAAAGGTCAGGAAGAGAAGGAACAGAGGAAGAAATATATAAATGAAATAGTAAATTATAAATCTAAACCCAACTATTCAACAATGTATCATGAAGACACTATACTTTTAAATGTATATGCATTAAATAAATATCAGAGCTTCAAAAATCGTAGCAAACACTCACAAAGCTAAAGAGATGTTGAAATATATTTTTGAGAATTGAAAGAACAAGAGAAAATATAATTATAAATGCAACTTGTTTCGTTACCCAAACTAAATATTTAGCCCTTCGGGGATCAGAATTCATTCATTCACTCACCCCTCCCTCCCTCTCTCCCTCCCATCCTCCCTTCCTTCCTTCTTTCTCTTTCTTTCTTCTGTTTCTCTGGTTCTTTCTTTCTTTCTTTCTTTCTTTCTTTCTTTCTTTCTTTCTTTCTTTCTTTCTTTCTTTCTTTCTTTCTTTTTCTTTCTCTCTTAATAACATAGCAATTTTAAAAGACAACAATTGTATTAATTGTGCTTGAAAATACATTGTGATTTTCATCATGTACTATATCTTGACAAAATGTTTAGAACATGAGTGGCCAAAGGTAAAGGCTTCATTTAAACTCTGTTTTATTATAGAAAATATTTTTAAATTTAGTTTCATTTTGTCACCTAATTTTATTTCCTAAAAGTTCATAAAATAGCATTTGGTGAGGTTTTAATTTGACACCACAACCTAAAGCCTTGTATTATACTCATTTTAAGTGAAATTAAGGGTTCCAGGGGTTACAGTTGAATCTTTAGGTATAAGACAAATAAATGAATTCTTACCTTAAAGACCAGCTCTCCTACTAAGCCATTCCATGTCCCATCTTCTTGTGGGCTTCCATACTTATGATCCGGTGCAACATAAATTTCATAGTTAAAACCCAGGTAGTTAGATAAGGCATCCAAAACATCAATGGAAAAGCCCTGGTATTTCTTCGGCTTACCCAAGACATTTTCAGAGACCATTACAAAAGGCTCTTCCTACATGGAAATAAAAGAAATTTTGATGTCAATCAAGATTGCTCCCTAAAAGGAAAGACTAATTCTTTAAAGAACTTTGCTTACAAAGTCCAAAATCTGTCTTATGCTTTGAAATAATTAACTTAGTATTATAGTTTATGCATTATTAATGAATCATATTATTGAAAAAGTTTTAATCACTTAATTTCTTATCATTTCTTATTTAATAATTTCCATATCAAAAGTAGGATGAAAGTGACTGAAAAACTTCAAGAGCTATGAGTTTATTATCACCTTAGGATCTATCTAAAATTAATTAATAATACATCAGGATGTGCTTACTGTATTTATTACCATTTTTATTTATATTTGTTAAAGTACATAAAATTTTATTTTAACAGATATAATATAGAGATGTAACTGTGAAAAGATTGAATATTTTAAGTACCTATAAATTAGCCAAAAGGTATTCTATATCATATTTATTAAAGTTATTTGCTAAACAATTTTATAACTTTGATATAAACATACATTTTATTTGCAAAAATAATTTCTCTATTACTACTATAAGAAAATTCACTTACTTTTGGTATACTATCTAATTTGGTAAGTTTACCAGATTGATTTTTACTGCTACTTCCATTATATACTTACATTTTTGTCATTTTGGAGGGAAGTACTGGGGATTGAACTAAGGGACACTGGACCACTGAACCACATCCCCAGTCCTATTTTGTATTTTATTTAGAAACAGGGTCTACTGAGTTGGTCAGCATGCTTTTGCTGAGTCTGGCTTTGAACTCCTGATTCTCCTGCCAAAGCCTCCCAAGCACCTGGGATTATAGGTGTGCACGACTGCCTTGCCTGAATTAGTTATTGTAATGTAACTAGTTATTGAGGTATCCTTTTTTTGTCTTTTAAACTCTAACAAATAGTTCAATGTCATTTTAGAACACTTAACATTACGAGGGCAAAATTGGTATGAAAAGACAGAATTAAATAATCTATTCTTTACTTTGCTAAACTTGTCGAGAAATATTTCAGCAATAATAATATTTATAATAACCATTCATAGTATATAGAGTCAATCCAGCTCTGTTGGCAGGCTAAAATCTTTCTTTGGGTTTAAGCCAGAAAACCTAAAGATTTTCTTTTTGAATAATTTTTCTTTAGGGATACACAAAATAGCCTTTACTGAGATGTAGAGCAGTATTTTGCTTTTGGCTTTTATTCAAAGACACTAAGTAAATGCCTAATAAAATCACTGCACCTGTTGCAAAAATATTGTCCAGTATAATGCTCAATTTTTTGCCCTAAAATTCACCATGGACTAAATGTTTTAATTGATCAGGATCACAGAATTTCATTTGCTGCAATAATGCCTTTTTTTAAAAAAAAAAAAGGATGAAAATAATGTAACTAGTTATTGAGGTATCCTTTTTTTATTTTATTGCTTAGGTCATTTTAGAATAAAATGAATCAGTAAATGGATGGTTCAAAAGGGCAGATTACTACCAATTGTTCCCCATTAGTGAGTTTCTTCTTTTATCACAATTTTTTTTTCCTTTATGGACCACTAAGAATAAGGACAACCTGTAGTCCTAATTTAGGCAAGGCAATTCCACGTGACTAATTCCCACCAAAACAATGTAATCAGGGTGGTTTCTGCAACATGTTTTGCTGTCCTTCCTACTATTTGCCAGCTGGTACAAACATATGATGCCTGGTGCCCTGGTAACTATCTAAGACCATACATCACAGACAAACAAGACAGAAATCCATGTCTCTGACACTTGAAATGCCATACCAGGCTGGCCCGCCCAGCAGAACCTCTCTAGAGTTCTACAATATATGGGGGAAAAAAAATCAAGTAATTCCAATATTTTTTTTTAGTTAAGCTACTGACTTTTTTCCTGTTATAGTACTATTTGATGCTAATGAATATTGATAGATTATTAAATCAGTAGGTTAGAGATGTTGAGAATGAAATAGAAATTTCTATTAGAATTAATTTAAATATAAATGGCATACATGAGTAAAATTTCATTTCAATTCTTTAATGTCAATGTATAAAATACAACACACTTGATGATTATAAATTATTTATGTATTTTAAAGTATGTAATAAAACTTCCAGACAATTGATAGAATTTGCTACTTTTGATTATTTAGACAAAACATACTATGGCAATGACTACTAGGCATTGTGCAAATAATCCTAAGTGGGTCCTAAGGTCATTAGAATCAGAGGAGATTAAAGAAATTCACAAATCAAGATCAAATTCGGGGAGCATGTAAACATGACAAGGAAGTTCTGTAATTAATATGATCTTAGATGCCTGTATCATGTAATAAATGATGTAACAGAAAGCATGTACTTCTTCATATGCCACCCATTGATGTCTACATTATGAACATCATCACCTGGCAAACCAAACCAATTGAATGAACATTCATGGAGAATCTTATTGGGCTGACCATTCCATCAACAATTTTGAGTCATAAGCATTCTCTATTTTTAAGCACCTTCAAACAGATCTCTTACGTTGAGCAATAATTTAATCACCAAGAAATTCAATAAACTCCTTGAGGTAAATGATACTTAAAAAATTAAGCCATTAACTACATTGTGTAGCTAAGTGATAAGTGTGGCAAGAATAATATACCAATGTATACTTTTATATAAACTACTAATGGTTCATTTTCATTTTTTGTTTATATCTCTTTTGAGCAATTGTTCCATATACTAAATTGATACATTTCCTTAGTGTGCTAAATTTCTTCCTAGAAATGACTTTAATTTTGATTTTATAAATCCCGAGATAAGCAGATCCCTTTCTCAGATCTGTTGTTAAAATCTGCTCATGGCAATGTCAACTAGAATTGATTAAAGGTACAGAATAGAAATGGTTATACTAAAGGTTCTTTTAAAGAGAGCTGATGAATTATCGATGAACATGCCTTTTAAATTTTATGCTCTAAATAAACCTTTATTCTATCCTCTCATTTGTCACCTGGATCAATATTATTTTTAAAGACTTATTTTTAAGGTGTATTACAGATTTAGATCACTCTTTGTAAATTCTAACTCAGGTCTGTTGTTCTCTACAAGGATGCACAGCCAATATATTGGACAGGTAAACCTAACATCGGAAATTAGATTAAAGCTCTGGGAACAATAATAGAAGAGAAACTTCTTTCTTCTGTGGTAATACTCAGCTTGGTTTAATCAGTTTTATATACACTTTTATATATGCACTTACTTCCAAAATTTATTTACTCATTGACTTATCCATATAACATCCATTAAGCAGCCACTGCCTCAAAGAATTATGCTCAGTAGAGTTAGAAAGATGGTAAAAAGGCATGGGCATCACTTTCAAAATAACACACAATGTACTCAAAAATATAAAGCAAAACAAAAACAACACACATCATAATGGGGACCTTGAGATCAAGGAAGAAGGACAAAGGAAACTAAAAAAAAGAGAAGAAAGAAAGAAAGAAATATGATTTGGGTATTACCAGCCATGCACTTTCTTGCTAAATAAGAAAACTTAGGAACAGAAAGTTTTATCTCAAAGTCACAAATAAGTTACAGAAAAAGAAGTCATCAAAATTTGTTTTATTTTAAAGACATCTCTCTAAATTCCAGTTTCCACCCAATCCTTTGGATTAAAAACTAAGATTGCATAATTTGTCTCTAATTTTAATGTCTCAACTTTCAATTTTAATTGTCTTAAAATTTCAATTTAAGTTAGTATAACATTGATAGAGACTCCAGATGTCTGTCAGGAAAAAATGAAAACACCGCAATCTCCTTTGGAGGAAAGTATCTTCATTTTAGATTTCATATTATTACTTCAAATAATGTCTGAATAAATTGTTTTAGAAAAAAAATCAAAGGCATCAGATGAAAGAAAATAATACTTCAGATATTAGAACTAGCAGACAGATGACAGAACTAGATTTCAAGAATTCAGATATTAGAAATTTTGACTGCTATTATAAATACTATGCCTATTGAAAAAAGTATATATAAAAGAAATGCATATATTTTTTAATTGGCAGAAACTAAAAACTACATCATGATAGAGTTGAAAAACAATCAATCAGAAATTTGAGAATTAAAGTTGGTGGAATGAGATGGAGATCATTACCCTAGGTACATGTATGACTGCACACATGGTGCAACTCTACATCATATATGACCAGAGAAATGAAAAGCTGTGCTGCATTTGTGTACAATGAACCAAAATACATTCTGCTGTCATTTATAACTAATTAGAAAAAAAAAATGAAAAGAAATTCAAGAATTAGAAAATATAATGACAAAAGGTAAGAAATTAATGATTAAGTTTACTAGAAACAGATGAAGAATGAATTAGCAAATTGCAATAGGTCAAGATTAATACCTAGAGTACAACAAGAACAAATGAAAAGATGGAAACCCCCAAAGGAAGAATGGAGGAAATGGTGACCGGAAGGCTATGGATTCAGATGGTGAAGATGGTGCAGATCATTATCCTGCACAGGTCATCAAGCCCAAAGAAGTCAGCATCCGAGTTAGAAGTCAAGTTGGAACTACAAGTAGATTTCTCTACGAGGAGCAACAAAAACTGTACATCTGGGTTTTAGGGCAAGAAGTTATTCTTGATCACTCAGGGTCCTTGGGAGGTTTCAATGATGTTTATTGATACATAAATAGATGATAAAGTTCAAAAAAAAAGAAAAAGAAAAGAAACAAGAATAGAAGAGAAACAAGGAGAAATGGTTTGATGATTTCAAGTATGGTCATACATATAAAGAAATTAGAGCTATCATTCATTTCTGATGGACATGTAAATTGGTACGATCATTTTGGAAAACATTTTGACATATCTAGTAGCACAGAAAGATACTTATGTACAAGTTAAGATTGTCTTTTTTTGAGTGATATATAAATATTTATCTAGTATGAAAATATGCATAATTATGTTCTGGAAATTCCACTGCTTGGTTGGGCACAATAGGGAATATCG